GGCGATCAACCGACTCGCAACTCTCGTTCAACTCTTTAGGATGCATCGTTTCAAAGGCATTCACCCCCCCAGCGCAAGCTGGAAATGGAAACGGCCCTACAACGACGGGTGACGCGAATGGTAGTCCGGCGTTGATTCCGGTCTCACTCGTTGGCGTCCGCTCTGCCCCTCCGAACCCGTTACTGGGTGCGCTCGAACGAATCGCGGCTCCGGTGTCTGCTGCCGAGACCGGTGGGGAAGGCGCAGACGAAGCCGACTCCGGGCCGAGGGTGTCTACGGACTGCGTTGAGGACGATAGAGAGTGCAGCTGTAGGGGAAGATGAAGTGGACGGATCGGTCGACTCACTCAGCTTTGCCACCGACAGAAAGACGAGGGTCCTTCGGCAGTCTCGACGAGGGGTCCATCGGCTTGAGACGGATCTTCCAGGACCAGAGCGAGGATTCCTTCGAGGCCTGGTCGGACGATAATGATGATGGCGGGCAAGACACCGTTGATCCGTCTGCTGAGCGTCCGCCAGTGTACCCCACCGCCGTACCTCCTCCGCCTCCTTCCGCCTTCATCCCGGATGCCCTCAGCGGTCCCCCACATCCATCGTTCTTGGCTCATCTTCGTCCTTGCCGGACTATACCCCGAATCGTAAGTCACTTTATACATGTGTTTAATTGATAATCGTTCTAATCATCCAATTTTTGTCTTTTTCAATTGATCGTTCCAGGCATCCGATCTTCACCGCTCCTCAGGCCCCATAGTGGCTGGGAAACTATGGCGAACGATCTGGGAAAACTGACTGTCGAAGAATCTCTCACCGGCCATGTATTTGGAACGAATCAACACACTTAAAGCCGCAACTGGATATAATTTCCAACAAGCCAACCCACAGCTCTTCATACGACCAGACCAAACAAACAGATCTCTGCATCACTCGATCCATCCGAACAAGCCATCAAATTAGATCCCAAGCTCTCCGATGCCATCTTGGGGCTTGCGATCAGTTACTCGAACGAGAATCGTCGGGCGGAAGCGTTTGAAGAGATCGAGCGATGGATCGAGGTGGAGAGTTCTCGGGTACCCAAGTATCGTCATGCGGCCCTCGCTCCCTCGGCTCCACAAAAGAACAGGGCAGACCATATAACAGGATCGATGACGGAGGAGGATGGCCCATCGAGGCTGAAGGCAAAGCACGGAGAATTAATGGGTCGGTTGATCGAGCTAGCTCGACTTGGTGGAAGGATCCCTGAGTCCCCCTCGGTCGACCCAGACGTTCAAATCGCCAGATGGCATCCCTTCCAAAAGTTGTTGTAGTTGTCAAGAACGAGGGCGGCAAGGAGATTGGTGGTGGCAACCACTACTGCACCATCTGCCGGGCCCCTATTCTTCCTACTCATCCCGGTAAGTCGATGGCACAGCCGGCAGTTCCTCTCATACAATCACTTGATTGGCTCACATTCCCCTTTTCCCTCAACTACCCAGCTTGAATTCCTCTTTTGAATTTATCTCTCCATTCTTCGGGTCTCTTCAATGGCAACGTCCATACCTCTTCGATAGAGTAAGTCTTTTTTCAACATGCAATCCTGTACTATTATTAAAGTACAATGCCGAATCCAACCCGACCCGACCTTCCAGGGATTTCTGCTTGGATTCTTCCTAGATATAGCACCTAGTTTTTACCAGCGGGAGGGGAAAGTAGACCTGAGTCCTCTTTAACTCTAACAACGAATTCGAAAAGGCTTGTGATTGCTTTAGTACCGCTCTCGCCGTCTGTCCCGATGATCCTCTTCTCTTTAATCGTCTTGGAGCTACTTTGGCTAATTCTGGTAAACCCGAAGAAGCTATCGAGTTCAGTTCCTTCTCTATCTTCTACCTAAACTCTCCCGCTCAAGAAACATATTTACAAACAGAAAGAGAAATTTACCTTACTAACTAGGATCGATATCTTGGTCAATATAGGTACTATCATAGAGCAATTGAATTATCACCGAGTTATATTCGAGCTAGATATAACTTGTCGATCTCTTTAATCTCGACGATCGAAGGAAGAGAAATAGGATCAGAGTCAGAAGGAGGCGACAATAGGACCGGCTTGATTAGTCGTTTACGAGGCGCTCGTCCTAGTCAAGGAGATCATCAGCAAGAGGGAGGAGGAGGACGCACGGGACCGGATTTGATAGAAGACCAATTATTGGATTATGAGGCAATGGTCTGCTTGGCTCAATTGATCAGCCACAATACTCTTAACTCTCTGTTCTTTGGTACGGCTACCAACAAACCTCCAAATCTTGTCACCCTTACTCAGCAGGAAATTGACAATTCTCTCAAATTTAAGAAATTCTCGTTTGGTTATCTGATTGATCATCGTAAACATTCTCCTCTTGTTTGCTCTGCTTCTTCTCATTCGGTCGCGGAAGATCTCGTTGGTTCCAGCGCAGTCGGTTCAGATGATCATCCTCAGGATGATGATGATCATCTTGCGGGTCAGGTCTTGGATGGATTCGAGTCTTTTGCTCTCGCCGATCATGTCGATCTCAATGGTGATGAGGAGGATTCAATTTCAGTCCTCGAAAATACAATTGAAAAATGATGTATGGGACCTATGCAAGCATAATCTGGTGGATTCCATGTAACCCCGAGGTGCTCAAGACAACCCTCATGCCGGTCATCAAAGTCTTACTCCAACACATACAATTCATTACAATTCATCTATGGCTCCCTGCCCCCCTCCTCCTCCTCCTCCTCCAATCAGTCTCTCCAATCCTCTTCAAAACAGAGAAAAAAGGCCTACAGCCCTTTGATTGTTTACGTACTCTATACTGCCATTGACAATCTTCTTGATACAGCCGGACCCCTGACTTGGCCAGACTCTTGGCCCATCAACCTCCAAAAACTCCTGCTAACCAAAATCTTTCTATTGCGAGACATTTATACCCCTGCCTTTCACAAATTGTTATTGACATAATCTCATGAATGCTGACCAATGGTGATTCCCTTTTTGCATAACAGTGAAACAATACTGGAATCAAGAATCTGTACTCACTCAAAAGTAAGTGCTCTTTCTAATCAGCATATTTTTTCTTCATGTGATTGCTGGGATTGCATGGCTGCTGTGTGATGCTTGCTGAGCGCGAAGCTCAGCAGGCATCACATTGTGGGATTGATGTGGCCTTGGCGCGAAGACTTGGCCCCATTAATTCCTGGCCAGACAATCACTCAACATATGGTGGGCTAACCCATATTTGTTTTGTGTTAAGATGGATGGGCCGGAGGTATTCAGTGTTGCTGGCCTCAAGAGAGGATCTGATTACGACGGTGACAGAAGCTTGAACTCCCAGGCCATCAACTTCTTAAATTCTCAGCACCAACAGTCATACCAGCAGGTGGTTGACTTCGATCTTCACGCAGTCTTCTTAATGCAAGAATTTCGAGCAGAAGATACCATTCAACAAATCATTACTATGATCAGCACCACTTTCACCGAAGAATACCCACCAAAAAACACCCTCCAACAGCAGTTGGTCAATGCAGCCAAATTAGTCAACCAAAGGATCCAAAACTACGAACAGCAACCTCACATGCCGAAGCCATTTTGCCTCAGGTTCCCAACTTACAGTGATGTTCTTAAGCATTGTATGGAGTTGCAGGATAAATGTGAGGTATTACCAAACCATAAAATGGTTATTCTGATTGATGAGGGAGGTGTATGTGTTGGAGTTGGACTTCCTCCAAAGCCCCAATCCACTCAGAGCATACATACCCCTTGAGATGTAAGTAATCTTTTGGAAAAATGTCTTTGGAGAATCCAGACTCACCTTGGTGTATGATTAGCGCCGGGCAACAGATAGACTAGATCAATTTGTTAATGATAATGTTCTTCAAAGCGTGGAGGCTCCAATGATCCAATCTGGCGAAATGTCTAATCAGTTTCCGACTTCCCAGTTCCCACTTTCCACCAAGAACAAAGGGGAGATAAGAGCCAGGCCGGAAGCCAAGAAATCAACTTGCTCTTTCCAAGCATATGGATTTGGGTTGGGCAGTGTGAGAAATGCTTCTTTAGTGTTTTTTCGATTCCAAAGCAATACTGACTTTAAATTTGCACTGAACCACTTACTTTCCACAAGCCGCTTTCGGCTGGAGCTGCAGACAAAACAATCAAGTTTGCCACCTATAGCATCAAGAAAATCGACCTACAAGGCCACGGGGACCATTGGAAATCTGATCCTAAGCCCAATCTTCCAGAACCACTCAGATCCGACCCTGGTCCTACAATGCGAGGCCTGGTGGAACTTCGACATGACATGGTCTTCTACCATAGGATATCTTACTGGATAAATAAAGTATTTTTACCAGATGCATCTTCCATTGCAGAAAGTGCAGTGAAGTACTTGGAAAAGAAGGCATCAACCACGGTGAAAGAGTCTATTCAGGTAGAAAAAAATATAATCATTGCAGGTAAGTATAAGAAGAATATCTATTTGACCGGAATATAATTCTGACTTTGAATTGAGCATTGAAAAGCCCGAACCATCACAGTCAATACCCATCCAAACACACATAGAGACCGAAACAATGCCCTGTTGATGGATAGTGTATTCTTCTTTGGAAATCATATCGGTGGACATTTCCTTCTCCCTGGGCTTGGTGTTGCATATCCAGGCTTGCACGGCTATTCCTTTCACGGTCCATTTCGCATTCTCTTCCATGGTGTTTCCCAGTTCCACTTCACAGAAGACATTACAGACCCAAGACGATATTCAGTTGCCATGTGGAGTAAAGATGGACATCGGTACCCGTTTGGAGGTACCCGGCACCTGTTTGCCTGGTACCGCCCGTACCCTCCTGGCACCTGCGAGGGGGTGCCAGGTGAGGTACCTGGTGTCCATTTCTGAGCAAAATGAAGGTGGTACCAGGGTACCGCTAGAGGTACCCTCTTTAATGCGCAGTCACTGAGTAGGGGGATGGCCATTGCCTTCTACTAAAAAAATGGGATGATAAAGGAAGGGGTGTTGGCCAAGTGGAAAGATGGTATTCAGACTGCTAAGAGGGGTAAATAAGATGGGAAAGGTAAAAGAAAGGTGATAGTATTAGAAGATTAGCTCAACACAATACTTGCATGTAGTGAGAAAAAAAAGTGAACTGCAATTTCAAGTCATAAGAGTGCCATTTGCACCACAGCCGCGGGTACCTCTGGTACCCCCCCAAAGTACCGCTGGTACCCGCCAGGGGGTGCCAGGTGAGGTACCTGGTGTCAATTTCTGAGCAAAACAAAGGAGGTACCCGGGTACCGCTAGAGGTACCCGGGTACCGATGGCCATCTTTAATGTGGAGCCGAGCCTCCTCTTTTTCTGCAATTGCTCGATTTTCCGCACATGACAATGGAAATGAGGTATGATCAATAGATATTTAATCATGTATGTACTAAACTGACCATATTTTGTCTTGGATCAACAGAAGTTTAGCGATGATAAATATTGGCTCCCACTTTATCCCGAATACAACCCTAAAATTACTTCAGATCTCCTCAAAGCTGAAGTGAAAATTGCCAAGAAAGAAGCCAAGAAAGAATCCAAAAAGAGACAAAAAACCAAAAACTAGCTTTTATTTATTGGTGTCTACATATCTCTGTTCATCTTATCTCTGTGTGCCAATCTGTCGGATTTTTCTTAAGAAGAAAACAACTCATCAAATGAAAGAAATAAACAGGAGTTGGTAGTTTTTAATTAAAGGATTTGTAGTGACAATTCTTTGGAAATCGGTCTGAATTCCTCTTAAAAGAAATCAAATAGCAATGTGAAATACATAAACCTATTTAAGACTGCCCTTGAAGAATTTTCTTTTGATAAGTTCTCAACTACCTTGAAAAAAGACAGGAAAAATATAATAAGACTTTGTTTATTCAGAGGTGTCCGAAACAAGGGTAAAAACACCATTCTTAATATCATCAAGCCACTTTTCCCGTACAGGATTACGCATATATTCTAACCCAATTGCTAACTCATCAACCTTCAGAGTTGAATTCTCTAACTGGACTATCTTAACAGCCGGATGTTCCTTCTCCAGCAGAGTCACCGGATCCTTTTGTTTGGGGAAAACTGGACCCTTTTTCTTGGGGGAAGGATCGTATTCAACTCCGAGTGCAAGACCTAAGAAAAGGAAACTATTAACCATGATAAATCAATTCAACTCCTACCTTATAAATGACAGTACCCACATAGTAATTTATTGAGCTCCTGACGCAACTGAGTTCTTACAGTATCAGCATGTTTTGGTCGTTTGGCAGGCCTGTTGGTTTCAGCCAAAGATTCTTGAAGAACTTGTTGAATATCTCTTCCATGACTATACGCTTCAAAGTTCTCCTTGGCAAACCACTTCGACTTCGCAATTTGCAGCCAGGAGGGATCGTTTGACAACTCTTCACAGAAGCTTCCATTCCCGGGGAACCTGGTCGCTGACAACAAGTAAAATGTCAAGTTGTACAGGTTGGAAACAGTGAAAAGCTGAAAATAAATCAATATTTTCAGATGTATAATCACCATTAATGCCAAACAGACTGTGCTTATTTACCTCGGAATTGATACGGATGATATGCTTGAGTGCTCTTTGTGAAAACACCGACGTATTATCAGGAGGTTGAGAACTACCTGCCAAGAACTCGACCTTTTCATGATTTACCAATCTTTGATAAAGAGGTTGATAGAGGGCCTCTTCCTCAGGAGTAAGAGATTCTTCTTCTTCTTCTTCTTCCTCGGTATCATGGTTGTCCAGGGAAGTAGGTAGTTTTGAAAAGAAGCAAAAAATCTTTTCATCGAAAACTTTTTTTTCATTGTCAGAGAGGGCAGCCCATGCCTTTCCAAGGTGGACATTTCTTTCTTCCCATCCCTCCGAACAACCTTTTGGAGGAACTAGAAATTGAGAATCAGGAAGATATTGGTCAGTGAAAACATTCAAAATGTGATGATGTACTAGTAATCTCACCTGGTGTAATTGAGCTTTCCATGCTGAAAGCTACATACCGATTCCAATTGCTCTTTCTTCTTGGTGGTTGATCTTCTCCCCTGAGTAGATTCAATCCGGTTTTCAGCTCTCTTGATAAGTTGAAAATAAAGATAAAACTTACAACCAAGAGTTGACACTCTTTTCAGAAACATTCCCAATCAGCGCCAGCATCAACTTAATCTTACAGTAGTTCTTTTTGTGGAATAACAGTGCTTCTTGTACTTCAGTAGGAATCCGGTTAGAAGTTCGAGTTTGCTTTCCTAAGACATCACGAAGTTGTTTATTGGTCCAAGACGACATTCGGCTTTCATAGTTCTCCAAAGTGAATGCAATCTCATCGGAATCAGAATGTTCTTTGTGGTCACTGGATTCCCGATCACTTGAACCTCTGCTGCTATCTCCAACACAACCTCCACAACCTCCACGACCTCCACGACCTCCACGACCTCCACTACCTCCATGACCTCCACGACCTCGACTGCCACGACCGCCACGACTTCCACGACCGCCACGACTTCCACCACGACTTCCACGACCGCCATGACCTATCCCATTAGTCTGTCTTCCTTCGGAGTTACTAGTTGATCGAGTTTCAGGCATGATTGATTGGAGTGATGCAGAAGGAAGTGAACTGATATA